CAATTCTCTTGCCTTCTCTCATTGAATTTTATTCCTCTGAGGCTACCAGAAGCTTTAAATGACAATAAATACGAAGAATTAAACCGATTTACCAAGTCTTGTTTGAGTATATAAAACACGGTATAACGTCACTTAACGTCATTCGCAAATCCGCAGCCTCTCAGAATGCGCCGCATAGATGCAAACAACTCTGTGAAGGTTTCGCAATTTTCTATTTAGAGTGTCTTTGTCAAATTGAGTTGGAGTGACGTGCTGGCTGTCTTAAAGACCGAGTGCAATTGGTCGGCGAACGGATAGTCATTTTAGTTAGATATGTTTGAGAACAATTTACAGAAAGCACCCGGAGCAGTGACTGAGTAGTTTTGAACGATGCCAAAATCTGATGATAAACGCAGCGCTCTATCGTTTCTTAGAACGCGTTCAAATCGAAGAGGTTCCACTAGTTCAGAAGAGGAACATGCTTCTGTAACCTTTCTTCCCCCGGAATCTTGGAATAAATCAGGTACGTTGGAGAAATATTGAAAATGAACCTACACATTTCCAAACGATTTGTTCTTTTCCCTTGCCCCGTCGTCTTGGGTGAATTTTATTTTGCGGTTTTGTGCGCACTGGACGAAAAGAGCAAAAACAATTGGCCAGGCCTTCCTGAAATTGTGGGTGCGAGTAAAACAATAATATTGATAAACTTATCATGCATGCTGCAGAATTCATGGAAATTTTGATTTTATTCATTTTGTAGACCTTGTCCATTTATCAGTTTCGTATTATGCTGTTTTTTTTTTCGGACTTATACCACATTTGTTAAAGTATTCATAAATCTGTCGCAGTTAAGTCTGCTAGATGAAGTTGTCAGTCGTAATCGCCTTCAGAAACCAGTAGCACCAAGCTCTTTTAGGTCGTTTTTAAAGTGGAAATTCCTCATGATAAAACGCCTAGAGTACTTGATAGTGTTAATCTTCTTTTAGCACGAATTACTAGACGCATAAATTTCCAACTTTTAATAAGGGATGTTAGATTTTCAAATTTTTTCTTTGCTATGGACCAAATTGTTTTAACAAGTGAACAAACAATTTTAAGAGACAAAGAAAAAACTGACACCTTTGTAAGTCTTTAAACGCATCAATGAACTTGCCTCCTCCCTCTCTTCCCCGGGTTTTTAGACCAGTCCACTTACCCCACACCTGTTGGGATCAGGATTATGTAATTATTTTGACGCTTATTGTACCGTTGAAAGACAAATAACGATTCATTTCATAAATTTTCTAATAAAAAGCTAAAATCTGTTATCAATTACTATTTGATAAAGTCGCAATTCAGAATCTCGTAGTTTCCTTTACGCAAATTATGGGCCTGATTACATGAGCCGGGCTGATTTCTTTTGTTTTGGTGTTCGCCAAAGCGTGAAAACAAAAGAAATCAGCCCGGCTCATGTAATCAGGCCCTATGTCAACATATTCGGAAACGTGCAAATTTAAGGAAAGTGATGTATGTTAAATGGGCTTAACGTCTGATTGGGTATACTATGATTGGACAATTAGCTGCCAGATTGACAGCTACTGATTTGCGATTGTTACCTGTTGGAAACAGACCTAGCAGCTTATGTGATATTTCTTCACTTGGACAAAGACAGAAATTACGACATCTTTCGGATAAGTTGCGATTTCTTGTCTAGAAATCGGCAAGTGATGGCTGGAATAAGGGAAAGGACAGAGAGTAAGGTCAAATATGAGCCGGCAAGTAAGTTGAATAGCAAGGTTACCCTTGGCATCATTTTTTGGGAGTACCAGGGATCAACCCCCAAATGGGACGCAGAAGGGTGTGACAACTTTTTGTCCTTTCCGTTCAAAAAGCATTTTCAACTTTAATCTTATCTTAACTGATTTGATTTTGAATAATTTGCAACGCTCTCACTTTGGTCTTTATTGTTTGACGACAGAGAAATTAAATACTTATTTTCAAGTTGTAATTGGACTCGAACTAAACCAAACGCAGTGTTTACCGAAGCTAAGTGCTGTAATTCTTGTTTGTACATTTAATGTCCAGCTAGCGCACATAGGCTCGCTGGTGCTGGTATTACCAAGAATGACAGCTATATTCTTCCGAAACTATTCCACAATTCAGGAATTTCTTGTTTATTCACATGTGTGTGTGGTGCTATAGATTTTGCAGCAGCCGTAGGTACTGGTTGATGTCTCAACTGTACGACAGTTCTGTGCAGACAAAACGCAGCCCCGCCGAAGACGCTTCGCGCTGCCTTTTCTATACGAACTCAACACACAAGCTGTGAAGCTTACTCCGGTTAAATTTGTTCTGTTAATGTAACTCTCAGTTTCAAATTAAACGCTTAGCAACATTGTAATTATGGAGGTCAAAATATCGTACTGGAAACTCAAATTTTATCTCTTGCGTCCATATCAATATTTATCATTTGCTAAGTCTTGACTATAATTGATAACAGCTAAATACTTTGCTTAAGGACCAGATCTAATAGAGAAAATTCCTTTCAAACGCTTTTAAGTCGTTGTTTCAAAATATATTTTATTAGAAATGTTTTTCTGTATACACCGGGTATGTGTGATACTTCAACCCTGTCAGAGACCTAGAAGTCAAGTCAAAATACAGGGTGACCTTAAAATATCTTTAAAAGTGTCATATGTTTGTTTTCTTTTTTGTGACGATTTCAACGCTTTCGCCGCTGTATTTTTTCTTCGGTCTGGTAAACCTACGGTTGCTTGCAAATAAACAAACGGGTAGTGATTGTCTCCGTTCCTGGTACTGGCTTGTACAACTTTCGCTAACTCTCCATCTGCGACCTTTTGCTGTGCTCTGCTTTAACCCGCTTATCTAATGCACGTCAGTGCATGAACAGGTTTTGGGTCTCAGCTTCATGTGAATACCTTTAGGTTTTGAGAAAAATAAAGTAAAGTGAAAATATTTTCAATTAGTTTACCTTTCGATCAAAGGTAACTCGGTCCCTAGGGAGCGCCAGAGGCTTGGAGACATGCCAATATTGAAGTGGTTACTATCTTTAACTTTGTAACAGAGTCATTTGGACAAATTAGTAAATATTCTACGGATAGAAGTGGATACGGCAAAATAATGATAAAAAAAACATCAGGTGATAAAGGTTTTCCACCCTCTCTGTTAAGAGCTTCCCGGTTAGCTCAATTGGTTAGAGCACCAGATTGTGTTCTGCAGGAGGTCGAGGGTTCGAGCCCCGGCTGGACCAATACTCATGGTCTTAAAATAAGTGAGGAGAATTTGCTACCTTTCTATCAAGAAATGGATAGATATTCTAGTCTTCTCGGATAGGGACAAATAAACTGTAGGCCCCATCGCCTGCAGGATGTCCTCCCCTGGGTGGGATGGGTGGTTGTTGCTTGGCATTGGCCCTGAAAAGCCCCTATGGGGAGTGGTCAATTAACCTATGTATGTATGTATGTATGTATGTATGTATGTGTGTATGTATGTATGTATGTATGTATATGTGTATGTGTGTGTGTATGTGTGTATGTATGTGTGTGTGTGTATGTATGTAGGTATATATGTAATTATAACAAACTGGTTCAAGACTTCAGAGGTAGTTCATCGTTTTATTAGAACAACTCTGTTTCATATGGTCAAAAATGACCACACTCATCAGGTAATTTCATTGATTGACTGTTAACTTACAATGGCTGGCTATAAAAGCTTGAATACGGTTGCTAGGAGATATAAAAACAACGCTACTTTTCCATATAAGTCATGTGACTGGTATGTATAATTTCTGAGATTGTTACTTTATTATGAAGTTTTTAAGGAGGTATCTGTTTCTATGGTGGCATGAACTTGCTAGCTCATTTCGCTTGGTTAGACTGCAAAGTTCCTTTTTACATATGATCATGAATTTTTCAAAAAGACAAATTACATTTCTTAGTAATGTTGTTGTACGGTTTGCATTGTTTGATGATTTTCCACGTTAGCTTGAAAGGTTTGTTATTGTCCTTCAGTGTCCTTATGTGTTTCTGTATGTATGTATGTATGTATGTATGTAAGCTTCTTAGAGCTTTCAGGGTTCTCAGTTGAACTTTGTTCTTATTTCTCTTGCTCTGATTTGCGACATGCATCAATTCGAAGGACCTTCCACTTCAAGCTCCTTATCAGGAAAAAGACTTCTATTTCAGCGCTCAAATTTTTTGATGAATTTTTCCGTTATAACCTGCGAGTGGCGATGATCGCGCGTTTCGAGTCGTCGAACGATGGGGGACCTCTCCCACGCTCGCCTGCAGGATATCGAAGATTCCACCGCTTGTGTTGCAGCGCTACAGAGACCCTGTTCGCAGGCAAGTTCGTGACAACCTCGTTCCCAGGGTCTCTAATCTTCGCGCCCCCTGGAGAGAGAGAACAGGGGGCGGGAAGATAAGAGACCCTGGGAACGAGGTTGGTTGGTTCCGTGAGGGAATCAGGTTGTCATAACTTGTGGTCCCGTGGGAGTGTTATGCTTACAAACACTCCTTCCTAGTCCCCTCCGCCACAGCAACAACTCTCGTCCGTTAGATACAGCGCCTACCGGCGTTAACTTCTTAGCCCAAGGCATCCACTGATATTCCTGCCCCTTTTTTTCTTTTCAGCGGAAGAGGATGCGGAACATGCTGGCAATTGCTGCACCAGAACAAAGGTAAGATTTATTTCATTATTGTTATTTTATTTTTACAAACTTCCTTCCCGTCTTATTTCTCCATTTTTATAGTGGCATATGAAAGTTAGATTTCAGTCAGCGAGAGAATCTTACACTTTTGACCAGAACATTTTTTTTTTTATGAACCAGTCGCACTTTTCTTTCTGTTTCTCTATAGGACTGGTTCATCAGCTTTCCAAAAGCGACATGGCCCATTCTCTTGACAGAATTTGGGGAGCGTTTTTCGTATTATGGCATTAAAAGTGAGTAACTTGTTATCCCACAAACGACATACACATGATTTACTAACCGTGTATGGTGTACGCAGGTATCTTGTACAATCGTATTAATCTTGTAACAATTTCCTGTACAGCGGTACTGGTGTTGTATCTGACCAAAGACCTCATGTTCAACAAGGCGAATGGCAAGAGCATTTATCACGCGTTCAGTATGACAAGTTACTTTACGGGAGTTATCGGCGCCATGATTGCAGACAGCTGGCTTGGAAAGTATCGGTAAGTGCGAGAAAAAATTGTTTTACTCGGTTCAATTTATAAAGGTTAATGCGGGTGAGGACTTTGTGCTTTTTAAGCAAGCTCTGCGGTTAATCACACAATCGAAAGTTGTTTATTTTTGTCTTTGTTTTTTTCTTTTTTTTTTTCTGTAGAACCATTGCCTACACACTGTTCCTTTATTCCATTGCGGAGATCCTTCTCACATTGACGAGTGTTGATACTATTGGTCAGCGGAATTCGTAAGTACCCTTGAATTAATTTAAATACTTGCTCGTTTCTTTCTCCTTTAGCTGCTCCATTCCGTTGATGTTTTACTTGTGTGGCGATACCTCTTTCTTCTCCTCGTCTTGATTTGTTTAGTGTTGCCTTCGTGCGCCAACTCCTTCCTTCAGCTTTTTATCCTCACGTTTATTCGAGTATTTCCTTGTATGTTTTTCGTTTTTTCAGAGTGGGACCTTTGGTTTCACTCTTTGCCATGGCTATTGCTTGTGGAAACATCAAGCCTTGTTTGGCCGCTTTTGGTGGAGATCAATTCCGTAAAGATCAGGTTTGTCATTATCTTTGCCGGTAACAAGCAGGTAATTCTTTTTTACAGGTAACATAGTCACTTTAAAAAATGCACTTTGTTTTCTTTCTTTTTCTTCGCGCAGCGTTCCGGCTGGAAAAAAACTGCGTTAAACAGACATAACCCGACTTGGCCTAGTTGACAGACGTCACGCACGATTTTCTTTGAATTTTCATCGGTTTGTGATGCTCACGCGATCGCGTGATTACGCTTGCCGTGACTGGTCCCGTGACTAGGCCCTTTCTTAAACACTTGAAGACACCCATTGCTGTGGCGGATTAAAGGGGAGGGTTTGGCAGATCCTGACCCAGCCCCCGTCAGAGCTTTAAAACTAAGACAACCTTCCTTAGTCTTTTTACCACTTGTTTGACATCAGGATTCTTGCAACCTTAGGGTTGTATCCAGCTACTTAGTATAAGTACGTAAAATCTATTTGATTTGAAATAATTCTCAAATTATTTAGCTTATGGTGTAGAAAAAATGAAAAAAAAAATCTGTGCTTTCTCATTAAGAAGCGTTTACTATTTGATTTAACAGGAACACTTGTTAGAGCTCTTTTTCGCCATGTTTTACGCCTCCGTCAACGTTGGCGCGGTGCTTTGTATGTGGTTCATTCCCATGGTGCGAAGTGAGTGATGTATTTCGTTTGTTTTTTAATTTTTTGTGTTTGTTTCCTCTCAATAAAGGTTAGTGAAGAAGCCCTATCATTGCTTATTATTGCCACCTTACGCTGGAACAATCAAACAAAAACAGCTTGAAACAATTCTTGTTTTACCTGTTGCAGCTGATGTGCAGTGTTTCGGACGGGACTGTTATCCAGTTGTGTTTGCCATAAACACAGTACTCATCATCACTGCAACACGTAAGTGTATAAACGCGTGGGACCGTCACTTACTCTCTCCAAGCTTTTGTGTAGGGACATGTTCGTGGCAGATGCTACGTAAAAGGATTGACTGGGTAAAGTTGTGTTGAATGAGGGGGAACGAAACGCAATTTGTACTATTGTAACAACACACACTTTACCAAAAATACGATGGCGCGTTACCCGGAAATCTTTGGATTTAACCTTTATATATATATATATTTTTTTTGCGTTGTTGAAAATTTGTTGATAAGCAGGCTTTTAGGATGGAAATCTAATCAAACCGCGCTCTGTGGGAATTTTACACAGGGACAATCCTTGAAAGGGTGGTTGACGAAAGAAACTCTTTACCCGTCCACGTTCCTTTCTTCGAAGTACAACGAAGATTACAACCCTAGCCTAACCTCTTAAAATATAACTAGGCACAGGCCAGAAAGATCTGAATTGTTGAGATGAATGTCCTTTGTATAACAATTGAGGAATAAATACGAATTAACAAATTAAGAAAAATCTCACTTCATAACATTGTGTAGATATGAGCCATTTAGTTCGGCTTCGCTTTTAGTTTATAGCACTTTTACAGAGATATTCAAACTTATGTGGGGTATCTTAAAATTTAAAGCAAGAGTTAGAAATGTGTCATGTTTTCAGAGGAAATACATAATATTTTGCTTCATACGTTTCTCTTTCTGTAGTTTCTCTTGTAGCTGGAAAAAGGCTGTACACATTGAAAGATCCCGCTGGAAACGTCATGATCCGTGTTTTTAAAATCATATGGGTGAGATGTAGATTCCTGGTTCACACTCATTCGATTGTTTAGTGTCCTTTTCCATCTTGAACCGTAAGACGATTGCCTTACATAAGGAAACGATTAAATTTAGAAGAGTTTTTTGTCAAGATCTCAGTTACACTAATTTTTGCATTTTTGGATTAAAAGGAGAGATAGACAGCCTATAATATCAAGAAATGGGTAGATATTCTAGTCTTCTCGGATAAGGACGAATAAACAGTAGGTCCCGTCTCCTGCAGGATAAGGGGTAATTAATTAACGTTAATTAATTAACGTTAATTTTCCACGCACGAGATTACTGTGTGATGCATGTCCTCCCCTGGGGTGGGATGGGTGGGTGTTATTGGTTAAACTAGCAATTTGCTAAACTGGGCTACCCTCTATAAATATTCGTAAGTGCATAAATTTTCATTACCTGATTACTGGAAAATGTATAGTTTTTATAGGGGGGAGCTACACGATAATTACTTTCGGGAGTTTAAGGGTTAAGATATTCTGCCAATTTAGATCAGGAAGAGCTGATTTGGTACATTTGTTGAGCTCACCTTCACCTATTGTGAAACTATATAAATATGACGCTTTTTCACTCCATGCTCCAAACCCAGCCAGAAAACCTCTTTTTGTTTATTTTTGAGTCAAAGACAAACGAGTTTGTCTTATACATTTTTGCAGCACGCTTTATCAAATAAATTCAGTGGCTCCGGGCCTGCGCAGGTTACCCATTGGTTGGACAACGCAACTGATGAGTATGAGGTAAACCGTAATTTTTCGTTGTTGTTGTTTTTATTTTATTTTATGAAATCTGTTTCTTTAATTCATACACTTCTGTAGCTTCAATCTGATTTCTTTGAACCCTTAAATTTCTATCCCTTTCCCTCCCTTGATCGGGTTATCTTAGTTTTAATAGAGGAAGGTGCATTTGATCTCCATTGAGAGAGCTTTTAATTCTCTTTTCACCCTTGAAAATGAAGAGATCTTTTTTCCCGTCACATCCCTAAACATCGTCTTACGCACGAGAATCTTTCGTCCATTGAGCTTTCCGAGTTTTCAGTCCTCGAAATTGTTTGTTTATATATTTGTTAATGCAATTGCTATTTTATTTCTTTATAACAGCAAAAGGAAATTAATGACATCAAATTGTTACTCCGTGTGCTAAAGATGTACATCCCTCTTCCAGTGTTTTGGGCGCTTTTCCATCAACAGGTGAATTTTCAGCTCGTGTCAATCATTAGAGCCAACAAGGTTCTCTATTTCATTGAGAAGCTTTGTTTTTCGAAGATTCTGAGAATATTCACGAAGAAAGGTAAATTACGAGCGGTTCCCTTTCTAAACTTATTCCGTCGAGGAAGTGAAAGAAAAAAAAAAAAGAAAAAGAAAAAAAGCGAGCGAAAACTGGGATAAAAACATGCACGCTCACTTTTCACTTGCTTGGGAAAGATGGAGGATATGAATATGATTATGCGCTTGCGTTTCCTATCGAGACATGTTTTTCAATTTCTTTCGATGTTTCTTTTTATAACCAGGGATCAAGTTGGACTCTTCAAGCAGAGCAGATGGATGGTGATTTGGTAAGATTCTTTTTGAATCTGCAGCTATAAAATCAATTCAGCGTTGGTGTTTGATGGTTGTTGAGATTGACACAGACTAATCAGACTGCAGTACGGGTAGCCTGCAGAGCAAGTGTAATTTTAGCGACCGATTGCTCAGCATTTCCTAAGCGAAAATCATGGCCGCCATCTTTAACTTTAATGGCAGCGGAAGGCTAGGGAGAGAAAGAAATTTGTACCGAGGGAGTGAACGACAATCCAAAATAAGGAGAGCTGGGGGTCGAAAAGTGACTCAGCACGGGAGCAGATAGATAGCGAGCTAAGGCAAGCGCGAGAAGAGGAACACGAAATACGAGTCACGCGCGAGAGGAGGAGTGCGAGGAAAGTGCCTCGCCCTTCGCGCGCGCCTTGTGCATACATGCGCTCGGCTGGAAACAGCAAAAAATGATGCCTCGTTGGCAGGCTACTTACTTTTGTCAATTTTATTTTTATTAGGGTGGTTTTACGTTACGATCAGATCAAATCCAAGTAAGCAAATCGCTCTCTCTGTATCATTTCTCTTTGAATACTTTAAGATAATCGGATCGGATGAAGTCTTACAAAGCAACTTATTGTTCTCTTTTTAGGCGCTGAATCCAATCCTTGTTCTGATCCTTATTCCTCTCTATGATGGCGTTATTTACCCAATGTTCGAGCGTTGCCAAATGCCTCTCAGGTAATGTTAAGTGCGTGTATTTAATTCGTCTAGTCTCGATATTATTTTATCGCTTTTACTTCATAGCCACTGTAGCCATCGTAATGGCAGTTCACTCCTTGAATTCTCCTCTTAAGAAAATCGACCGCAACGTATTCGGATGTAGCAGCTTATGACACATATGCAGATCTGTACATTGAGCCAGATCGGGTGCTGCTTGGTTTTGTGTTTTCGCGCGAAGTGTCTAACCAATCAAAAAACACCATACGCACAATTCAGTCAAACGACACCATAATCTACGCCAATCGTGAATACTGGAAAATAGACTACGTCATCCTTATTTACTGTGATTATACTTCTTGACTCCTCCAAAACAGTAAACAGCCCCTAATCCTATCCAAAATTTTAAACTGAAATTCATACTTCTAAGCTTAGTCATTCTATTTCGCTTTGATTATATTTCTCGGCTTCTCCAAAACAGTCCCTGTTCCTGCCATAAATTTCAGCCGGAATTTATGCTCTAAAATCATCACAGTAATTTATGAGCTATTCTCTGTAAGAATTTAGGTGACATTTTGTAACTTGGGTGTGGTTAGTTTTCACAATTACCTACCGGCCTTGTGATATCAGTACCAAACGGGTCAGGCGTTCCTTATTACTTTCTTTTCTATTTTTTCATATACTTTGTCATTTTTCAGTGCTCTGAAAAAGATGACTGGTGGATTAGTACTTGCTGCAGCGGCGTTTGTTGTCTGTGCTTTTGTCCAAATTCAGATCCAGGTGATTTTCTTATCTTTGTTTTCTACTTGCCGTCGAGTTCATGTAACTTCACTTCACTTTGCCTTGCCTTTTCTTCTCTGAATTGACCGAGGTACCCGTGGCTCTAGTGCTGTAAAAAGACGATGAAAGGAAAGCTAAGCACCAACGTTTTTAACTCTTGACACGCAAACATCAACATGTAGATTCTCCATACTGTTCTTTATATATTTCCTGTAGCACCGACGAGGAGAATTAAGTTAAAAATCAAGAGCTTCTCGGGTTTGTGATCATTTCCTCAATTCTCCTGAGTCTAATGCTTGATTCAGAAGAGATACTTCAGTGAGAAACTAGGTACTAGTCTCCCTCAGTGGTCAAAGGGTTTACACGCGAACGGCACCCGAAAGGAAGAATACTCAACTTTTGGCGCGCTTTGAAATAAATCAATTAACTAGAAAAGCTTCTTTTTCAAAATGATACAGATCAAAGAGCAGTGGCAGCCCCTCCTACCCCTCCCCCCCCCTCTTCCACGCCTGTACATAAGATCCCGTATGTATTTTCGGTGAAATTGTTGTTGTTGTTGTTGTTGTTCAGACCATTGGTGAGGGCCCAGCAGCACCAGGAGTTGGAAAGACCACTATGGAGTTTATTAACGGTGCCCCGTGCCCAGTCTCTATCGACCGCGAGTCTTTCTTCAGGGTGAATCTGAAATACGGAGAGGTAAATAATTGGGGGTTATGTTTCATCTCAGCACCGGAAGAGACAAACATAGATGAAGTGCGATATCAAAACTTGTTTGTGTGCTTAATTGTGACGTAATTGGCATGGTTCTGTTCTGTAAGAGGTCACTGATGACGTCAAAATAAGGTAATAACAAAATGTTTTCAACACAATTTGACTTGTCCGACAGATGCAAAGAAACACAAAATCTGTTCGTATTATGCTATAAAGAAGCAAAATTTGTAATGGTGAACGTCATCTGTGCCTCTGTCCTCCATTAGATCATTGATAAGAATCAATCAAAATGCCTGTGTAATCCAGTCTACCAAATGGCTAATTCTACATCTAGTATTTCAGTCCTCATGAGAGTTGTCATGTTTTACCCTCTACTTTCACTCTAACTCACGGTTCTTCGTCTTATTTCAAATGCAGCGATCAGACGTTTTTGTTGGCCAGGCCGGCCTCATGAACTTTACAGTAACTGCTCAGGGTAATGGCTGCAAGTTTAAAGAGAACCGTACTAGTTTACAGTTGGACGACAAGACAGTCTTCAGCGCCGTGGTAAAAATTGCCAACAACGGGTTCATTTTTAAAAAGGTAGGGTAGGGTCAAGTTTAATGTTTTTTCTGCATGGAAGTCAGTCTGTGGGTGAAATAGTGCAAACTTGTTCTCATTTTTTTTTATTATCCAGTCGCACCTACTAGGGCGTGGTTCACGAAACACTATTACCCCAGGATCAAGAAAACTAGAAAGGTTCTAAACCCTTCTGTGAACTTGAGGGAAATCCAGATTCTGTCTCTTTATCTAACATTTCTTGAATTATTGCGAAGTCATCGTCTGTTTTATTGATCGAGGTTGAAAGGCGGTAATGAATTAATTAAAGCTTAAAATGGCTTCTTCAGCGTATTGAGATAGTTTCAAGAAATCTTTTTGCTCACTATTCTCACCGAAGGATTTTTGGTTTTCCTCAGTACCCTGTGAAACTGCCAGATATTGATATCAATAAAGCTGAGACCCGTGTAAGGTATGTCATACTTTTTTTGTTTTATTTTTTTGTTTTTTGTTTGTTGGTTTTTTTTTTTTTAAGGAGTCGCAGAACAAACTGATTGAGATGATTCCACTTGTTGAAAGTGATCCACTGTTGCATTGGTTTTCTGTCACTTTGTTCTCGTGCGGCCACAGACGAAACCCATCAGATTAGCAGTGTTGATTTTGTAGGTTTTCGCTTAATGGCAGTTTATTGAAATGCGCGCAATGATACGATTGACTTTCCACGCGCCTGCGACTTGAAGTCAAACAACTTGAGGAAACTGTTAAACATATAATTGTACCTGAGCGACTTTTGGAGTATCCAACATAACTTGCGCCTAGGTTCCAAGAGCTAAATTGTATATATTTCTGTGCTCTTTAACGATGATGAAAATACTCAATGCACTGATTACATTTAAATGTTCTCTGTTCTTAGGGTCATTTACTCTGGTGCTGCTAATCTTCCTAAGAGGGTGGATGTGGAATTCAAGTCCATTTTAAGCAAAGTCGAACCGACCGTTTTGAAGAATATTGGAATTAATAACTCAACATATAGCTTGATAGCAACTGGAGAGTAAGTGTCGGGCTTCATGCCAGGTTTTATGACCTCATTTTAGCGCCATACTTAAATCCATATTTTTCCTGTCCCGTCTGCCCCATTTAGGCGCTTCTCCTCCTTAAAGCGCTTTAAGTGCTGTGTCACGCGAGTGTTTCTCGTTAACCACCACGCATAACGCAATCCATTACTTGTCAAGTTTGTTGGAAGTCACCCTTCATAATTTGACTAATAAGTTAAGTTTGTAACCTCTTACCCTATTGAGGAATGACCTAGAAAGCTCTGAGAATTAAAGTAACGATAGTAAGTAAGTCATAAAAGGATCACACGTGGCAGAATTCATGCACTGATAAAAAAGTGTCTCTCCATTCTTATAAGTTATTCATAGACAACATTTGAAATATATCAAATGTGTCCACAGTGTGTTTCAAGCTAAGAATAAAGGAAAAATAGACATAGGTTCTCGGACACTTGTCAGATGCAGTTTGTAACAATTTCCTCCAGCGATTTGTCGTGTTACACTAATGATATCTCTCCATTCTTTTTAATCATTTTAGGTACTATATAAACACTATCATGCATGCAACGAATGGCGCGAAGTTTCACTCAAAGGTGAGTGTTAACGTTAGAAGATGGACGCATTAGACAATATCGGTGTTACAAGGTAATTGCTCAAAGAGAAGCAATCGTAACTTAACAGGGACAATGGATAAGCGAAGAGAGAGCGGCAAAAGTGATATAATTCGAACAGTTCGTTTTAAGGGTCGTAACATAGAGGACATTTGAACAGAAAGGTAATGTTACATCAAATTGCAAAGAGGTCAAGAAAATACCTTCCTATGAGTGTGTAGTCACGAAAAATTTCGTCCTCCGAAACACGGTCCCTTTTAAATAGCTTAATGCGTTTCAGGTGAAGAAAAACTTTGAGGGTTCTTCCTTCCTGTGCAATTTCTTTCACGTATTCGCAGCGAAGTCTTCGGAGCATTTTGCATCGTTTAACCATTTACCTTGCAACTTAAACAAGTTTTAATCAACATATAACTGAAGAAAGTGATTGTCTCTAACCTTCTCTCTACTGACGTCTTTCTTTTTCTTAAAATTTCGCCACTCTAGGAGCAAAATAGGAAAATCAAATTTGGCAACTTTGGTGGTTATACTGTAGTTATTCACCCGCCCGAACACGATTCCAACTCCACCCAGGTAAACGGTGTGCACCCTGTGCCAACTACTTTGTGTGTTATGCATGTTACAGCACATTTATTATGAGCTATCTTTGAAATATGTGACAGTTATCTCCCCTTGTCTGGTTCTATTTTTTTTTTTTTTTTTTTTCAGTTTGATACTTCGATGTACCAGGATGCGCCTGGTACAACCGTGTCTCGACTTCTTCAAATTCCACAGTATGTCGTGCTGACGGCATCTGAAGTCATGTTCTCTGTGACTGGCTTGGGTTTTGCTTACTCTCAGGTATTCAGTAGGCTCTTATTTGTGTTGCGACATGAGTGGCACTGCTTGCGTGATTTGCCCCGGGGAGCACTTCGGGTGTGTAAGAGGTTTGTGAGAAGACTGGCATATGAAATGAGAACCGAACTCTCGCAGACCATCTTGCACGTTCGCACTGCCCACTGGTTTGAAATCCGCGAGAATTCAAGGTTGCCGTTCGTGTCGCAAAGCCAACGAGAGCATGCATGCTCACAAGCAACGTGAATGTTCATTGTCGGATCGTAGGCGTTCATAATCACCTTGCGAATAGGCGAAAAAGTCCTGATACGGATGCAAGAGATGTAATTAGGAGTGGGGAAAGTGTGCATGCTTGTGCCTCTTTGCGATTTAAAGGTTTGGTTAGGATTTTGTACCGGATGGGACGTGGGATTCAAACTTCTTGGTAACTCGAGGGATGCCGTGGCTAAGATGAGATTTTGCTATAGCGAGATCCTACACAAAGGTACTACCGGCATACCAGGTTGCTTTACTCTCAAAAAGATAACTGACCAGGTTTGTATTGACAAAGAGATGGGTTACCTAGACCATGACACTCAAACTGAGCTGCGCCCTAACTTCGTCGTATTGGTAGCCTCACAGTTAAGGCTGATCAATGCTTGTCTTCGTGTTTCAGGCTCCTGCCAGCATGAAATCTGTACTGCAGTCTTTTTGGCTGCTAACTGTTGCTTTTGGCGATCTCATTGTGGTCATCTTGGCTTCCGTTTTACCGGCAATAGGCGTGGTAAGTCATGAGATCGTGAAAAACGAATTGACGGTGGTGTGAAAATTATTGCCGTAATAGAGTAACTAGTAGCTAATTTCTTCTTACTTTGAGCGCTGCTGAATGAAAAATTAAGGGCTTAGAATGAAGGAAGTATTTACCAACTGGGGACTTCTTTGTTGTTAATTATATTCTCCCCGTCATTGGGATGATACGTGAACAGAGAAGATTATGGAGAGTGTTCACACTGATGTAAGGGTGTAATAGGGTTAAAATTTCTCAAAAGTACATGGGATATGAACTCCAAAAGGCACAATGTCCTCAACTACAGGATTAACTGAGTTGTGCTGTAGGAGATCAATTGAGCCTGGATCTTTTGATTGTTATTCACATAAACAATCACCTATGCAGTCTTTTCCAACGTCATTGTTAGAACGTTTGGGTAATAATTTCGAGTGCAGTTTAGTGTTAACAAGCACGTGTAAATTTTTCAGAAGTGCTTATTAACGCCAAATTGCACTAGAAATGTTACCTATACAAACAGTCTACCAATAATTTGCCCGAAGAAAGCTTCACAGATAGTCAAGACAGACTAACTTTTGACAACGCGCGCGCTATTTGTAATTTGCACTCGTGTTACAACTCTGCGCTCGTTACATGAAAAATGCACTCGTTTTCAGCCGGTCCGACGCGTGTTGTAATTTTTTCATTTTTCTTGTCTATTATCATAAAGGTTCTCAGAGCCTAAATATCAATTCAGTTATTACAAAAGCCAATCAGAATAAAGAAACTGAACAGCTACAAGGGAAGAAAGGAATCACTGAGGACTCAACTAAAAACATGCAGCGTCACAGTGCTCAAGCGCGAGAAAACCCGTGTAGTTGGGCTGCGAGTGGTATTGGTCTTGCATTCGATTGGCTAAAATTGTCTCGAGTTTTCTTGACCAATCGCACAAGAGTAGTAAATCAAAAGCAATATATTGCCGGAATGTTTACGACACTCGATTGAAAATTGCTTTAGCGAACCTCTAATCCTTCTTTAAAAGAAGGAGACTTGTTATAAATAACAATTTTTCTTTTTATGCAGGAAAGGGAAATGTTTTTGTATGGAGGTCTGATGGGCGTGATCGCCATCGTGTTTGGTGTTATGTCTTACTTCTACAAATACGTGACCCTGGAGGAATTGGGAGAGATTGAGCGAGATGAAGAAAAGGAGGACTTAGGAATAAATGGAATCGCTCTGGAGGATCGTCCCTCAGGCGACAAGGACAACAACACCAAAGTCTGACATGGTTTGCTTTCTGGGACATACAGACTTCCTTTTTCTCTTTGCACTCTAAAGTTCTTTGGAGCTTTATCACGGTTTGTTCATCTTCAGGTTCGCCATTTGCAACCCATAATTAGCGATGCTATTCTTTGTTTTTCTTACTAATAGGTGTGAGTTGATATCTTTTCAATTTATTACATCGCTCGCAACGCCCGTGGGCAAGATGAAGCGAATCCTGGGTTCTGATTGGCTACCCGAGCGGGCAAGATGGGCCCATCTTGCCCACGCGGGATTGCCCGCATTGATCCCGCGAATGAAAAAAAATAGAATTAGAACTRCGTTCGTAATTTTAGGACAATTTTGGCGATGGAAACGCAAAAAGTGGCAGAAGATAGTCAAAACAAAGAAAACAGAAACGACTCTCGTGAGTTTGTTGTGCTACAAACACAGTTGGCTTTCTTTCCAGGCTTTCCAGACTCTCGAAGTAAACAAGTCATTCCTAACTCTTGTTAAAGCGAAATCTTTTTGCGATATAATAAATCCTTTATTAACTATGCTTGTTCGGCCAAGATGGCTGGCTTCGTCTCGGTCCATATAAATGCAAATAAAAGAACTCGGCCAATATCCAGCCATCTTGACCTCATACTTGGTTAATAAGCCATATATAATCTTTTATAAACTAAAGTTCGTTTTGCACAGCGCAAAAAAATAATTTAAGAAGAACTATTCACAGATGTATGTATTTTTTTATATCTTTTTTACATTTCAAGTATTATTAAGGAGAGTTTTTTCGTTCCTTATTTCAGTTGGGACAGTTATTTTTTATGAGTAAACTTTACTTCCTCTGTATGTCCGTGTTCTTGTACAGAATCACTCAGGCGATTAAATTCTTTCCCCTCCCGAGTCCTTAAAAGTAGGAAACGCTAACTTCGTTACCAGGGTCTCCCTTCATCTAGGAATGGAGCGACCTGGTAACGAGGTTGGAGAAGGTAGGCCAGGGGATATGCGTGGGGGATAAGTGTTACAGTTGGCAGTTTGTGTACCCCTCAGGTAGAGCCACGTGTTCCTGCGTTTTTGACGGGGGTTTTGGTACGTTTCCCGCAAACGACCCTCCACTGTACTGAACTTAACTTGCCAAGCTGCAAGCTTTTTTTAATGATATTCTTTTTACCTCTGGATATCTTCAAGACATTCCGTTTCATCCATCGATCAATGACGATAACGAATAATAGTGTAACTCAGTTTAGTTCCAGTTGGACTACCTTAGGGCAATTTAGGAAATATTACTTTTATACTTTTTTAAAACATTATACTTTTTTGAAATTCTTATACATTATTTCGCTGATAAATGGTTGATTTTTTAATTGTAACTTTATATACTTTTTTAAACATAATTTTATCATTTCTTATACATTCGCTAATAAATGGTTGAATTTTTAATCGTAACTTTTTTGATAAGGTCGTAGTAGTAGCAAGTATGATACATATTGTAAGAAATAGACAACTTTTTTGAGAGACATGTTTCAGCATGCTTATGCCATCTTCAATCAATGAGTAACTGAACGTGAGTAATTATATAACAGACAAGTAGATGAATAAAATATTTACAGTATGATGTAATACAAAAGCGGGTACTAATTACAACGTGACACCAAACATCAAAGGTGTGAACTAAAACGCTAGAAAAGTGTTCTAATGCTGTAATTGTTTGTTAAGTTGAGGGTTGATCTTATTTATATAAAAAGCTTCTTTGAGTTTTAAATCAATTGAGTTGTTAGCAGAATCCAGAATACTAAAGCAAGAAAGGGAGTATTTGTTCTTACAAGAAGGAGATGTGTTGAAACGCTTAAAAATATGCGAGTTTTTACTGTGTGCTCCTGTGTGCTTACTGTGCGCTTACTGTGCTCCTACTGTGCGCTTACTGTGTGCTCCTTTATCCTAGTAGAGAAGTGGCGACTAGTTTCACCAATATAACGGGAATTACATCAAATTAAAACATATTCAGTGTTAAAGATCGTACCCCTGATGCTCTAAAATCCATTGTAGTTTATCAATTTTCTTGTGCAAGAATATAAAAATTATACTTTTTTATTCTTGTACATTATTTCGCCAATAAATGGTTGATTTTTTAATTGTAACTTTTTTTTATGTGGTTTATAGCACTGTTTGAGCACGAGACTGCAGCATCGCAATTTGTTGCCTCTATTCGATCCTGAGATTTTCTTTTCCATATCGGCATGTTACAGATATTTGATCTCCACTGATTGCTTTAACTTGCGTTTACCTGAAAATATATTAATCTTCCACTCGCACGAAAGTGTTGATGCTACACATAATGTACTGCGTATTCTGTGTAGCTATCGCATCTGCCACAAAGCATTTTTTCTATATTTCTCAAATTGATCTTTATTCTGGCTCTGACATGAGATCATTTGTTTACTTTTGGATTATCCCAGCTTATCATGACTTCAATAAGTCAAATGTGATTACACGAAATCTTCATTTGTTTTTCTCTTTGTTTTCTGTTTTCCCGATCGTCTTGCGCGCTTACTGCCGGCACATTAGGGTTTATTGGACCGAAAATCACAAAGACAGTTCGGTAAGGTGTGCAATTTACCTTGATTGGTTCAGCGGTTAAATGGCAAACGTGCTAAACAAGCAGAGGATAATCTAAACAAATCAGAAAAGAAAGGCAGGGAGTCTTTCAGCTGAAATCATTTTGTTTCAAAACTTGCTCTTCCTAGATCGAAAGGGTCATTGTTACGTTGCGGTCTGTAGCCGAGAAAACACCGCAATATTTAGTTCTGCGAAAAGATATCAGGTATGAGTTTGGTATCGGCGAAAAACAGACGTAAAACTTTCATCCTTGCAGCCGCCATTATTGTGGTAGGAATCGCTTTTCTTATCGCAGGAATAATCTTGCTCGTCAAAAGAAATGGTTCTCATTGTAAAGCACATTACGAAACTAGTGCTTTACACAGGAGGCGTGTACAAAGATGTGATTATTCCGAAGAAGCCAAACGATGTGGACTTCAAGCTTTTTTGCAAAAAGTGCAAGACAAAACTTTTGACGTACAACCATTTTTAATCACACTTAAGCCCGAAGTAACTGCATCAGAAGTAAAGCTTAAATACAAGGCGTATAATCCGAAGCCTTCAAATCTTCTTCACGTAACCACTACAGCGAAAGCCCTTTTGCGGGAGCTAAATGGTATGGTCATTAACGAAAACAAGCTGAGGTCAAGAGAAAGAAAAGCCGTGGCACAACTTCGACATTTTCTGAGGCACATCTTCGGAGCGCCCTTCGATGGAAACTATTACTTTGGAGACTATCTTCTCGGACCGAATGTCTTCTGTTGGCAGCCAATTTGCTCGGTGGGGGTCTTGTTAGAGAAGTCCCTTCCCTTTTTCAAACCCTCGGACGCACAAGGATTGGAGATTCTAATCGGGAAGTTGTCCGAAGTAAACCAAACATTTCAAATCTATACCGATAACTTGCGTTACGGAGTAAAAGCCGGAATGGTGCGAAGCGTGGAGGAATGTAAAGCTGGTCTCGACGCTATGCAAACTTACTACTTCAATATTTCGTATAGTGGACCAAAAGGTATGTTTATAACTTCAAACCTTAATAACACGTTTTCCTCTCTGATCATTTTACAAGTCCTGCTTTTTCTAATTTGATAGCACCTGATAAGTGTATTTCAGTTTAGTTCAGTTTTGCTAATCAAAATTTAAGTTTCGTAAGCAGTCAAAAAGTTAGCCAACATTTATTGTCTTTGAAAAGCTTCGTTTTCTGAAAGACCTATTTCAAGTAATATTATTTGGATCAAAAACTGACTCTAAGTTTTTTTCTCCTATGGGATGATTTATTCAGAAAACTAAATTTTTAGCGTAATGTGGGTCATTACAAGGATTATTGTGTCATTTTAAATGACAAATTAAGAAAAAGGGGTGTTTTCCTTTGAAAACGTTCTACAATAAACGTGTTTGATTGTTAAACTTTGTTTTCTTAAGACTTTAACTTTAAGTGTAAATTAGAGAATTTTTTCCAATAAGAAAGCTCAAACTTCCAAGGAAGCTTTTGACGATGTCGGATCACACTCTTTCTTCTTTTAAACACCTTTGTCCTAGAAATCCTAGAAACCAAGTTTAATCAACAATAAAGGTACAATTGTAGTGCGTGATGAAGCAGCTTTTTGACCAGCCAAACTGTAATCGAGTATGGAATGTGTACGTGATCTGCGGTTATTGCAAATATCTATAGAAAACGAACAAAGAGAAAATGCTTTTTAAATCTGACGTTAAAAACCCTAATGTCCTTCATTAGGAGAATACTTAATATAAGGTCCATCTGCTGTAAAGGAATATTACTTTTCAAAACAAAGAAAGGAAATTTCTTTTCGGGAGCAAACGTGGTTGGAGAGAAGGTACAAGAGTCTTTTTGCACTGACGTTAAATTAGTCCGATTTAATCTATAACCTTCGGTCGTGTTGCACAGTAATAACCTTCGACAGCGATTTTTCTTGGACCAATTACTGTTATCATATGTGCGTATTTCAGGTGTTTTCAACGAGACTTACATGCAAGGGATCTTAAAATCAGAGTTTTTATCCAAGTTAGAGAACCACTCAGACCTGTTGAAAGAGTGGCGCGAGAAGCACGCAGGAAAGACTCCGTCAGAATCACTCCGGGAGAGCGTCTTGGAATACGTGGGAAGGCCAATTCACGGATTACTAGAGTAAAATGATGCATGAAATTGATTCTCTGGCTGTATTGGGCATTGTTTGATTTAGCTTCGCTATCATTCTCTGACTAGGCTTAGCCACAATTTGCTCGGCAACTTTAGAGATTTTCGGCAACTTTTTAAAATTTTGGCAACTTTTAGAATTTTCGGCAACTTTGGGCCTTTTGAGGTTCTTCGAAGCCACTTTCTTCACGTTTTGAGCCACATTGGTCCGTTTTCGATAAACATTTATTCAATTTATTCTAAAATACAATAATTAGCCCCCCGCCCCCCCCATGGGTTGATTTTTGTGATGCCTTATCACGAGGTCAGCGGTATCACGTTGTACGTTTTTCAAGATGGCAAACAATTACAGTGACTATTTGTTGATCAAGTGAAATGGAAAGAACCTCTGATACTATCTTTGGACTTTGACATATAAAGTTTTGATAAGAAGCAATGTGCGAATTTTTAATCTTTAACACCCAAAAAAGGTACGAAAAGCAGAAAAATTTTGGCAACTTTTCGGCAACTTTTTGGCAACTTTTATACACTTTTATCGGCAACTTTTTTGGGATTTATCGGCAACTTGTGGCTAGGCCTATCTCTGACAAGCCACGAACAAGGAGCAAATGCAAAGTAGGACTTTGGTTGGGCAACTTAGGGAAGTTTATAAACGGCAAGGGGGAAAATTTGTTTGTATACAAGTCGATAAAACATGCAATCGAGACTAAAATTCGGCAGCCTTGCAAAGCGCTTTTCTCTAACTGCTATGCGCATAACAGAATCGTTACAGCCTAAGAAAGGATTGAAAATGCTGTAACTAGAGCGAGAAATATCCAAGGAGGAAGTGGATGAGGGGGGAGGGGGGATAAGGTATAGAACGGGGGCGGCGGGGATTAATTGTAACGGTACCAGGACTAGCCTCACCTTTACGTTTACATTTCTTTAGATACCTCAAGTATGAACACATGCCGCACTGTGTGCCAAGCAGTGTGTCCAGCGGTTTGTCCTTCCTCCCGCTCCCCTACGTGTATGTCAATGGAAGTGCAGACATCAACCAAAAAACCACAAAAGTATTACCGTCAGGAGAACCTCTGAACGGATCGCGGGCTTACGTAGAAATTCTTTCATACTTCACTACCACAAACAATACCCCAGATGAGGTACACGAACTTGGTTATGAGATGCTTCATAAACTTTACCCTGAGGTTAGTGCAGTTTTCTTTGTTTCAGGTCGGTTTTCAAACTATTTGATAAGTAAGAAGTAAGCAGAGGGAACTCTTAACTCCCATTAATGACCAAGAGAGAATGTCTCCTTACAATAATAGACAAAGTCATACATCACTCGTCTAAATAAATATAGCATAATAATAAGGGGATTATTAGTTGAACCAATACCAAATTTTCCTGACTAACCTTGCTAGAATTGTATGACAGATAGTATGGAGGACTTTGGTAGTCGGAGGGTTCACTGGTTAATTCTCAGGTTCAATGGATAAGAGTTCAATCTTGCTGTAAATGATTTAACACTCGGTAATATGGGGCTTCTCATTAGTATATGAAAGCTGACAATAGGACTACACCAAGTTTTTGCTAATTCAAAATTAGTCCTCCATAAAAACACAATTCTAATTGTCTTTTTAGGCCCTTGAAGTAGCGCGTCAAATCACAGAGCAAAAAGAAGACAATACTGCAAAGGCAGAGTTCGTAAAAATGATGAATCACTCCGATATGTTTTTCAACGACCAACCAATTCCAGCTCATGAGTCTGACAGTTCTGCGTTCAGGCTTTGCAGTTCAGTGGAGGGCGCGAAGCAAAACTGTCCACACCGCTGGCGAGCCATTCAGAGATGGTTTACAGAAGCTAGAGAGGTGATACTTTCAGCCCCCTCACTTTTCTACGGTTCTTTATAAGTTTCAGAGACTGAAGCAGTTTTTTCCCTTCTAAGGTCATGAGTATGCTAGATCCAAAAACTTCCCAGATGTTCTACTTCACGGGAAAGAAACACACAACTCCGAACTGTCCCCTGGAAACAGTACCGGATTTTAACCCCTCAGCTGGCGTGCCGAGTTACTTGAAAAGCGACAGCAAGTGCAGTAGAAACGCCAAATTCTTCATTCCTTTCTTTCTAGAGAGACCTGGGCCTCGGTATATGCAATGGAGCGTGAACGCTCATGAAGCGAGACCTGGGCACCACACTCAGGTGAGTGCAATTGCCGGAAAGTTGTTGAAGCGTTTTGGATTTGATCGTTGTAAACAAAAATCGCCTCATATTCTTATTCTTAGGATAAAAATTTTTTAAAGATTACTAAAGGTGAGAATTTAGTTATAATCGAACCACGATAATTAAAGTAATTATTTCCCTCTTTTTCAGCGACAAGGTTATGCCGAACATTTTCAGGATTCTTGCGGGGGAATAATTAGGTGGTTGTCATCAGTGACGTCATACACTGCGTTTGTAGAAGGCTGGGCCCTATATGCTGAGAACCCACTCATTGCTTATGATACAGATCTATACAAAGGGCAACCGCTGTACAAATATGGAATGCTCAAGTCTCAGGTAAGAGATTCAGATGAAGAGTGGGTAAAGCTCTTAACAGGGACTGTCCGGTCCACGACTTCGTCAAAGTCATCTTTAAATCTCTTGCATCCTTCGCTGTTGGAGTGAAGCAAACACATGACAGTCCACTTTATCTGTAATTCACGTTCTGCGGCGCCTAAGGGACAACTGAGTCCCTTCTGAATCTCCCCCTCGCCTGGGGGAGGAGAATTTAGAGGGGTTCACATGGTTTTGAGGGGGAATGGAGGGGAATCAGCCATCTTCAACAGAGTATAAAGAGAGGGGGTTACAGAAAAGCGATTGCCACCTAGTTGCCAATGAGGAGGGGGCTTGGGCGGTAGGAATATGACCAGAGCCTTGGGGTGGGGGAAAGGATCAGGTAATTTCATTGTGACAAAACCAAAATCATTCAAAGCCCCTTTTCAACTCTCAGTTCTAATTCACTATTTGGTAGATTTTCCCATGTTATGATTGACCGTCGCGATAACTTTTGTTTTGCGCCATCAAAACGCGCTCCACTATGTGGTTTTATTATTTTGGCTTACCGTCACGATCGCATGTTTGGATTTCAGCTGTGGCGTGCTCTTCGCATGATAGTGGACACTGGGTTACATTCCAAACGACTCACAAGAGACGAAGTACTGAAAATGTTCCAGAAATACGTTTGGGATGATAGCGACATCACATTGAAAGAGGTCACTAGATACCAGAGCGCACCCGGTCAGGCGACCTCGTATATGATTGGCCAGTTACATATCATGAAACTGAGACAATATACCAAAAAGAGACTGGGAAAGAGGTTCAATTTGAAGGATTTTCATTTTCACGTGCTGACTCAGGGGTCTGTGCCACTCGAGTTTCTGGAGCAGAGTATTAAGGAGTATGTAGATTGTACGCTCAACAAAGGAAAGGACAGCTGCGATGAAATACTCTCGCCAAATTTTCAAGAAAACGATGATGATAGCAATGAACTAGAAACTCTGAATTTGTTAGAGAGACAACTATATTTTTGATAAGCTTTTTTTTTCTTGTTTATTTTCAAGTGCCGGCTTTCAGCATCGACAGAAAGCATGATTTGGATAATTCTTTATAACTTGTTCACTTTTTACATTTGTTCGCATTGGATTTGTTCCATTTAGATCATGGAGTATTTATCTTAATATTTACAACTTATTTACCGCAATTCAATGAGAAAACCATAACCGAGAATAAATTCATTACGAAACATCCTGGAAAAATTTCTTGATCATACAATTAATGAATTTGGGATTAACTGTTCGGTTTCACTCGCCAGAAATTCTCGGAAATCAGTGCTCGTTGTGTCTTCGTAAGTCCAGAATCCTCGGTTCATTTTGATAAGGTTGCTTTAACCTCGAGAGAGCCTAGAACTACGGACTTCAACGAAAGATCTTTCTAAACGTTTTGCATGAAATAGAATTCAGGATTTTTTCCCTCTGAGTTACAATAATGACTTCATTTGATTTACATCGAAAAAAGTGACAGTATGATTAGGGAGCCAGCCACTGTAGACCACTTTCGCACATTTGATTCATGTCGTTTTGCGACGAATGGATTCACTTTAAGAAGAAAGAAACTTCACCAGAATTTTTATTTTGCTATGGAAGTAACCATAAACTTACGTGAACCGAGCTTGCAAAGGAGACAATTACCAGCGACTGCAAATGGAGAACTTGAATGATTTTTAGGCCTAATTGCTTAACTGTGACGTCTGTAGTTCTTTTAAATAGAGTAGAGGTGTAAATATTTATCTTTTATGAAGTCCCACTTGACAAAAAGCCGTGGACAGGAAAAAACTGCGACCTCCGTGATGAAGTCATTTGATAATGTCTGCGACGCAAAATGAACCAAACATTTCATTTTATCATACTGCAACAACTTGGACACAATCATTATGAGCACAATGCGTGCAAGACTTGACTCAAATGAATAGTTTGTATGTGCGATGCAATGAGGCCAGTAAGTTGAATAAAATCGTTGAAACACACTTACAGTTCCCTCTTCGAGATGCCGTGAACTTGGAGAAAAGTGAATTTTATCCATGTTGCTACACAACTAACCATTAAATACATTGATTTGGGAACACGTTTCTGGGCGGCGTAGCTAACGTTATTTTGTTTAATTGGTGTTACAATGTTTGCTGTTTCAGCTTTCTGGTATTCTCTTGGCTGTAGAACCACTGATCAATAAGTAATTTAACATCTTCAACATTGTTGCTTTTACACTCATCACAACAATATAATAAATAATAGATATTACAATCATCATCGTTATCATGATTATCGTAATCATGATTTTACTCTTTTTCAGCGTTCGTATAGCTTGAAATAGGTGAAATCTAGGTAAATCTCGGTTGACTTCAAAATACGTGAAAAGAAGAATACAAAAACTGTCCCACAGCTTATAAAAAGTCGGAAATGTTTCTCAACTTCTTTCCCGGGAATTATCATGATGGTTTTGTAGTTGTTCAGAAGCTTTATCACGTTACATTACAATGATAGTTACTGTTTCAGGCGAAGAAGCCTTAGCGCTGTAGCTTTTCTTGTTTGTTTAGTTCTGTCGAGAGCTCTTCAGTGCAGAGAGGTTTATTTTCATTTTTTGACTCAAGAATTAATTCCCATCCACTGCAAATTGTCAAATTTATTTCCGTTGGGTTGGATTGGTACCTTGATCACAATCTTTCTCAAATCTTGTTACCAAGGAAACTATTGAATTTTGACTACTTCACAAATATAGTTGGAGTTCTTGGTTTTTTTCTTGCTAACTGAACAAAAGGAAACTAAATAAGGATCCTATTCAAGTTAATTTCTTTTTGTTTTTAGATCTCAAAATCAGATAATTAACAGCATGATCCAGCTGCTTTGGATGAAAATAATAAACAAAACGAAACTGACAAAGGCAAAATATCACATTTTAAACCACTTGTGTATTTTTGATTTGTAAGTTCAGGATTTTTGGTTTTTGAGAAAGAAAGTCCTAGAATTCACTGATGACGAAAGGACCGATAGTGGGGGGGG